GGAAAACTCTAGCAACAGCCCTCCGAGCCATCCTGCTGGCCCTTAGAAAGTATTTCTATGGAGTCTCCCTACTTTTAATTTTGGTAACAGCTATGCTAGAGGTTAGCTTTTATTTTTAAAAATGTCCAATAGTCTGATTACAAATTTACACACTCACGACATGGAAAAACAAAAAAACAAAAGCCACACCCAAGGAACAGCTTTGCAAACCGGAATGCCTACCCAAAGGTGCCGTCCGGTGAGAGCCACACACAGTACAGAAGTTTCTGCTCATTTTTCCTTCCTCACACAATGAATCAATGACGTCTTCATCATAAAGGAATGCATCAACGTGAACTGTGGGTTCCGGCTGCTGTCGTATCTGGAGAAACACATCAAAGGAAGTGAAATACAAAGGAACTTCTTTTTATTGCTAAGTAAGGCGAAACAGCAGCAGCTGTTCTAAGTCCTGAGAAGAAGGCGCAGAAAGACGCCGCCGCTGATTCAATTCTGTTTACTGCTCCTCCCTCACTGTCTTCACCGAGACACTGACAGCAGCTTTCTCTTTAACCGGGAAGGACACCGGACACGGCTGAGATCTAACTTTTGAGTCTTTCATGTCAATGACCATCAAAATACCGGACAAGTCAACTTTGTTCAGAAAGTCAAGTTGTCAAGTTGCTAAAATACTATTAAAACTTCAAGCCTATATATGTGGCCACGATAGTTCCCATTTATAATACCAGCATTTGGAAGATTGAGGCAGGAGTCTGAGGCCAGCCTGGGTCATGTAGTAAATTCAAGGCCAGCCTGGACCACAGCCTGGATCAAAAATCAAAACAGGCTGGGCATGGCGGTGAATGCCTTGAGCCCAGCACTCGGGAGGCAGAGGCAGGTGGATACCTGTGTGAGTTTGAGAGCAGCCTGGTCTACACAGCAAGTTCTAGGCCAGTCAAGGTTACAGTGAAACTGCCTCAAATATAACTAATACCCATTATATACACACACGTATATAATACCCGTTACATATATAATTACACATATACCAGTAATATAAAAACCGAGCCCCAGGTGCCCCTTACCCAGCAATCTTCCTGCCATAGCCTCTCAAATGCTTGAATTACAAGCTTATGTTATCATGTTCATCTCTATTTTCCTTTTAAAAACTTTCACAGTATCTTCTTTTTTTTTTTTTTTAAAGATTTATTTATTTATTATGTATACAGTATTCTGCCTGCACAGCAGAAGAGGGTGCCAGATCTCATTAGAGATGGTTGTGAGCCACCATGTGGTTGCTGGGAATTGAACTCAGGACCTCTGGAAGAGCAGTCAGTGTTCTTAACCTCTGAGCCATCTCTCTAGCCCCACAGTATCTTCTTAAAGGCTATAGGTTAATTATTAATAAGTGAACATTTTCCCTTATTTAACATATTATATTACAGCACAGTGTTGATAAGAACATTAACAGCACCCCAACCTCACTACACACTTAGTACCAACACCACCCCAGACTGTATTCCAAAGTCTCACGACCTTGTACTTCGCTCTTCTGAGAGCCATGTGAAGGACTGAGCACTTTCTAAGACGTTCAGTGTTCACAGTACTCAGGTACTGTAGAAATGGTGGGCTGCATCAGGTGACACACGCCTGTGACCCCAGCTCGGGAGGCTGAGGCCTTGATTCTGAGGCCAGCAGCATTACAGAGCAAGACCTGAGCAAAAAAACCCCATTCACCCATCAAATAACCAAACAAACAATACTCTCCAATGCCCCCCCCCCACAGCCCCCCAAAACAACAACACAGGAATTAATTCCTCTGCACAGGTGTTTGTAGATGGAAAGGCCCAGACTGTTAACTCTTGATTTTTTTTTAAGATAGGCTGGTAAATGGATTCTCTTAAAAAAATTTGTTGAGTAAAACAGTACTGGGCAATCCAAAGTCTCAAGAGAAAGGGGAGGTGCCTGAAACGCTAAGTGAAAACTGATTAAAGCTGACCACACAGTCTGGGGCTAGGGAAGCAGAGACTTCTGGAGGGGCGCACAGGGAAACGAGTCCCGCTCCACACGCTCACCTTCTGCAGGGCTCGCTGTTCCGAGCCCAGCACGGCCTCTGGGGGCAGGCGGCAGCGGAGGTCGTCGGCCACGTTCTTCAACACGGCGTCGCGGTTATCTCGAGTGAGCTCATCAAAATCGCCTGGAAAAGAGCAAGAGGAAAGAGAAATCGCTCCGGCTCCAGCAGCCAGACCTAACTAAATGATTGCAGACGACACACTCCCCACCAGACAGCGTCAATTTGTAAGAAGTCTTCCAGACACTGACATGAGATGCTAACCCGAGCTCCGTCTAAAATGGTGAATTTTTCAGGCTGTCAAGACGGCCCAGTGGGTAAAGACACTTCTTAAAAAAAAAAAAACAAAAACCCTCTATCCCTGGGACCCACATGGTCGGAGGGAACCACCCCACAACCTGTCTTCGGTCTCTGCACGTGCAATTCCAATTCCCAGGAGCGCCCCCCACAACCCCGCGACCCCACCCCCATTTTTTTCTTCCAACTACTCATTAAATAAAAGCAAAGCAACTCAAGGAAACATGTAGTAATTAAACGGCTTTCTTTATATTTATGAATAGAACTCCTTTAGTTTTCAGGGTATTAAACTCCCTAATAAATAATAAAATATTTTATCTTTGACCATATGAATCTTAGAAATTCAGGAGGCATTGTTCAAGGATTACTTGGAGGATAGACAGCTTTAATCTGAATATCTTGACTCCAAATCTATATCTATATCCACTGTATATCTCCAGGTCTTGAAAGTAACAGGGCTGCGGATGCTGGGTGGGGCGCGGGGCGGATGCTGTGTCCCGGGGGTGGAATGCTTGTCTACTTGTTCCAGGCCCCGTTTGTTCTCAGCAATGCATAAACCAAATGTGGTACCACATGCCTGTAACTCCAAGAGGCAGGAAGATCATAGCTTGAGGTTATCACTGGCTACACAGCGAGTTTGAGGCTAGCCTGGGCTACATAAGACCTAGTCTTAGAAACATCAAGTAAACAAGAGTAATATTGGCACCAACTACATAATCTATTTGAAATCATGCTGTCCTGATGCACCACAGCAAAAGATGAAGAATACACACACACACACACACACACACACACACACACAATTATTTGTTTAGAGACAAGATCTACCCTGAAGCCCAAATAGGCCTTGACCTCACAGCGACCCTCTTTTCAGCCTCCTGAA